TTATTACTGTAGAACACAGTAGTTTCTTAGAAAATAAGTTAATTGATCAGATTTTTCTCACAATCTTATTTCTTGTAGTTTTATTTTACAAATATCCATATTTATTGTCTAAATAATGAAAAAATACTTACACAGTTGGTTGAATTGTTTCTGTGATTTTTCTATATGCTAGTAATGATGCAGATTCTAATGTCTGTATAATTAAAAACAAAACAAAAACAAAACTGCAGATTTACACACATGTGTACCTGCACAGAGGTGGACACTAGTGTGAGTGCACTGTTACAGCATATGCAAAAATCATACTAGGAAAAGGGGTGCCCTCCTTTTTGCACACTAAAAAAGGAAGTGATAACACTGTTTCCATAGGGACTGCATCAAAGGTTTAGCTGGGTTACCCAGGGAACCCATCTCAAATGGAAAGGAATGAATTTAAAGTGACATGACTTTTGCAGAAAAATTCTCGTCATGGTTTGGAGCTCAGATGAATGGATTCAGTATTGTTCTGAAGTGAGAAACAGGAACAGGAATGGGGAATCTTGAGTTCCAAGTGAAAAAGGCTGAGCATTAGTTTCTTTCAGTAAAAGTGAATGAAGGGGAACAGTGGGTGTCTTGAGGGAAAGGTAGCAGGGTCTAAAGTAGACTTAATAAATGAAAGGGCAGCAAAATGGTTGTGTGAAAGCAAGGCTGCTCCTACAGCCTATGTTGCTTTCCTCTCTCTAGTTAGTCATAATGCATAACTAAGACTAATCCTAGATACAATCTATTACCTTTGGGTCCTTTAAAACTGTTATTCCAGTTGAAAATCTACACATGCTCAGAAGTATTCTAATTTAGAGTTCCTAAAATTTGATGTTTGATCAATGAAAGCATTATGAAACATCTTTTACTAAGACATAGACAGAACAGGAAAATCACATAATGCATGCAAGAATGACAAGTAAATCCATTTTGCTTATTTGGTTAAATAAAGCTCATCTACAGAATACTCAAAGCAAAGATCGTAAGGCTGAATTCAAGGTTTCACCTTGATTACAGAGGAAATTCTTCCAGGAAGGGCACAACATACTTTCTCACATACTGTACACCTTTGTCTGGTAAGTTGCATTGCACAAAAGAAGAGTCTGTATGCTGCTAGATAGCATATTCTTTTGATTGCTGAAATTTCAGAAGCTAAGTATACCTAGCATATGTTAATAAGTTTATCAAAGAAATTAAAAAAGACTGTGTCTCCCAGATATACCTTGGCATTACAAAGCAAAGTCAACGGTGTCAAAGGAAAATTAATTCTTACTCCTAGGATATGTACTGCAGAAAGCATATTGATTGTCTGACTGGGAACTTTGAAAGATGTAAATGAAAGGTTTGGGGATTTTTAAAAGTTTCCAATAACAGCATTATTTTTTTAATATCAGACAATTTAATATAATGCCACTAATGTTTGCTCTTCCTGCTCATGCAGCTCTACAAACCATTACAATTTTAATATATGTTCTATGTGGCTTATTATACAGATGAATACTTGCATACTAACCCCAGCCCATCTTAGTATATCAAAAATTAACATGAATACCTGAACAACTGCAAAGTAAATACAGATTTCAGGATATCTGGATTTTGTTGAGAGATGAGAGGATGACAACATCAAGTAAAATTGAATATTTGCTATTTGCAGGTATAAAACCTGTTATTGTAAATTAGTCAGTTAAATGTTTACATGAATATTTATTTTATACAAGAAATATAAAATAAATACATATTTGTATTATCTTATGGAATCTTTACTCAAACCATCTGATTAAATTTGAAATTTTCTTATAAATACCATTTAATAGTTTTTATGACACAAATAGCAAACTTGAAGGTGATAGATGAGAGACGCATGCCAAAGTGGTAAGATAAACAAAGTGAGGCTAAAGAAACTTAGAAAATTATACAATATAAATAATGAAGTTCATCAAAAGGTTTTACAAATTCATAGCAAACTTTATCATTTCTTCTCAATTAAATTTTATTACCCACTATTCATCTTCTCACTTCAGAGGCAGGCAGATACAAAATGTAGAAGAGGTGTGTGTGCACCTGTATTGTGAATGTGAGTCCGTTACGCAGATCAGCAGCCAACTCAACTCAATAAATTATTCCATAGATTATGTGCAAATAACTCAACATATGGCTGACAATATATTCAGTTGATAAAATGTATATATTTAGCACAGGAACAAGAAAGAAAAAAATAATCCTGATTGCAGTAGAAGAAAAAGGCATTTAGGTGGATTGAGAAGCACAGATAAGTCAAGTGTGCTTATTATTGTGTTTTTCATGGCAACACCCAGGACACTACATAATCTCTTCATTCATTGTAGGCAACATACCCCTGTAGTACTTGAGTTAAAAAAGTTACCCATGAAATTTGTGGAAGCATCCTGAAAAATATGTAGAAAAGGTGAGGAGCACTAAGTGAATAACATAACACTTTCTGCAGCTTACTGATCCACTTTGCACCCCGGGCACATCCCACAGGCCCTGCCCTAAAATGCTGTTGGCTGGGTTCTGGGAGTCAAGCCTTACAGTGGATCTGAAAGGGAAACTTTTCCTTCTGATTTTCGGAATGATAGGCAGATGATCCTTAGCTACCTGTAGTGGAGATGCAATACTAGAGTCTCTTCACTAGCAGCCTAAGCACTAGAATCTTTCTGGGATAGTGAGTTGGTTTCGGTCAGAAAAAAAAACCATTCTGGATGATTGTAATAAAAGCAGAATGTCTCAATGAATAGGGTGGATTAAGTAGATGGATCTTCAGGTAAGTCTTAAGCTTGGAAAACAAAATCTCTATTAATTAAAAACGTCTGCCTACCATGTGCTGCAGTGTCACCATGCACTGGGCAACTCACAGTGGGGTTTATGTCACACAAATAGTTCCAATAATTTTCTTTATTGTTTTTATTTTTTAAATTGGAAATATAGCACTAAAGTTATGGGAAAAGGTTTGAAATACACGAATTCTTGGGTAAGGGGTGGATAGAGAAAAGTTTCCAAAAGGGCACATTGCATCATGTTTAGCAAGAATCATGGAATAACTGACTCTAGTGGTGGTGGGCCACCCATTTGCTTGCATCTGCCTTGTCTCTAAGCGAAAAGAAGCAAATCCCATTACCACCAAATGGCCCAGGAATTCCCATCTCAAAAGAGATTTCAGTAGAATGAATTAAATGTGTAACTTCTCTTAACTACTTCAGATATTCTGGTTTCATGCAATTATTTACAAACTGGCAATGGAACTGGTGATTTTACAGATTAACATGCAAGTTGTTTTGAGACATATATTGAAATCCTTTCTTAGCTCCCATGTGATTTGATGATTGCATCTAGAACTGAGTTGCTTGACTCGTAAAAACCTTACCAGAGAATTGGCAAAATTCTGCATGACTATCAAGTAGTCCAGGAAAAAAGGCATCCCATGTACAAGCTGCATTTGAATAATTTCTCCTGGTCAATAACTGTCAGTATTTGATTACTTTGGACCATTGTTATTAGTTCACAGTTTTAAAAATTATTGTTTCCCAGCAAAACCGAAATAGAAGAAACTAATAATCTTTAAAATGTTCTGTACTGAAAGAGTCATGGAATCACACCGGATCTACTCTTTGTCATTCAGAATTATACAGTGCATTGCTTACTGCAGTGAATTAAAATACTGAGTTACCATTACAAATGAGAAATAAAGTGTTTAGAATTGCACCACATAAAACTAAACATACATTTAAATATAACACAACATAAAATGTAACACGCAGCACTGATCATTGAAGGAAATAATGCTCTCTTGTTTAAACCCAACTTGTTGGATTAAAACAGTAACAGTATGTTTGAATTATATTACATAGTGCTGCCCCTATATATTCACTAATTTGAAGAGCATGCTTTTTTCAGGCAGAGCATGCAGCTAATTTGTTTTCTTTAAGAATGATTAATGGTTTTTTAAGAAAGACAGACAAGAAGAAACTGCAGCTACTCTAGGGCCATTCTCTGGTTTGTATCCGTTTACTTTATGATGAAGCTCATCTTTTATGTGCTGGTTAGGTGTTTTGCTTTGTTTTGGTCAAACAAGATGCTTAGAATTTTCTGTATCTGATTACTGAGCTACCAAGGCAAAAACCAAAATCTAAGTAGCGCTGCAGTCAATTTTATTTTCACTAAGTTTAAATTTAACTCAGGACAGTTATATGCTCTGCTTTATTCCTGCTTCTAAAGGAATAAGGCGGAAAGTTTAAACTGCAAGAAAAAATAACACATGCACAACACCCCCGTAAAAATCACATTGAACATTAGAAGCACACAAACCAAAGGTATGAATGAAGTAAAACCCTCGATCCAAATTTGTTTTAAGTATTGGGATGTCAATACTGCAATTTGGATCTTATTTTACATTTCCTGTTGATCGCAATGTATGATTCCCTTCATAGGCTGTAACCCTCTCTCACTCACCTAGTGGTAAGCCCCACTGAGCACAATGGCACCTACTTCTGAATAAACATAAAGAGTATCTCAGGGTTAGAGAGTGATCCAGAGGTGGTGTGGAAGGCTGTGAGGGAAGACCTCAACAGAAGCTCTATTGCTTCTGGAGAATCTTTAAAGCAATGGACATGCTGCCATAACTTTCCATGCTTTCTGCTATGCTGTTTTGCCATAATTACCTCATCCATGGCTTTTCTAAATCTTCTTAGAAATCAATAAGCAATTATTCACCTGATAGCTAGATATACTGATATTTGTGTTGGTGAACTGGGAATAGATCGCAATAGAAACATCAACATATTTGCCTAGAACACCAACTAAATATCTTAATACTAGAGTGACATCATGGGTGATAATGCTGAGCTGATTAAGCTGTTATTGCACCCAACACTAAATGCTACTGACTAAGGTGCAACAAGCCTTAAAAACAGGTTGCTATATATAGGTCAATATGATCAATAAGAATTAACATAATTATTTACCTGTATTCACCAAGTGTTCCATCATCTTCTTTCATAGGCTGTATTTCTGGATCACCATGAGCATCCTCCTTTTCTTTCACTAAAACATACATTTAAAACAACCAAACAAACAAACAAACAGTGAATTTAATCCAGACTTTGACATGTTTGGAATAGACTGATTCAAATCAATGAAACAACCTAGCCAAGCCTAATGCAAGTCACATTGACTTAAATGGGTATACTCTAAGCATGACTAAATATTGATTCAACCCAGTACATATTAGAATTAATTATAAATTGGGAAAGAATCTTGCAGGAATGAATTCTTCTGTGTGGTAAGTAGATTATATGATCTGATGTTGAACCAATGCAATGGTCTGGATTGCCAGCAGTGCCAACTTGATATCATGGATAATAATTTTAAAGCAATTTGCTTTTCAAATCCATCACACTACTTTACTGCAACTAACCTAAACATACCATTAAATGTCTGCCTTTTACTGGTTTCCTCAATAAAATTATGAATACTGCTTCTCACTTTAATAGCTAGGCTGTTGCATGAGAGCCAAGAATTAGTTACATATTAAAATTCTTTCATTGCATAAGTATGGCAGAAATTTCTTTGCAAACTTAAACAACAGGCTGCATTTTTTTCTACTCAAAGCTTATTCAAAACACACTGAAAGATTATATTGCTCTCACCACTGTCAAATTAAACTGATCTGGTAAATCATAAGAGTTCACAATAATTCAATAAGGGAGTTCAATATACAAATATATTGACTAGATCTCGAGGGGCAGCACAATTATTTCTGCCCTTGACAGCTTTTGAAAATGTTTCCTGAATAGCAGGGCCTCATGCTTAAAAGGAAAAAAAATCAGTTTGTGATATTTATTAAATCTATATCCTCCTTTCTAATTAAATATACTCAAGCCACCGGAGAAAATATGGATAAAGATTGCTCTTCAAAGTGTGAATTCCCAGTAGGCATGTTTAAGTGCTTGGGCTTCTTGATGAAGTCCTTAAAATCCTTACCATTAAGAGTAATGATTATATTAAACTGAATTTAAATATATTAATTTACATTCATATTTATTTATTATTTATTTATTAAAACATTTTTATGCCGCCCCATTCAGCGAAGCCTCGGGGCAGCTTACAACAATAAGTTAAAATAATTATAATATAAATCAAGAATATAAACATTAAATTAAAAATACAAAAATACAGTATAAAATAAGCCGCCCTGGCCAGATAAAATCCAATAATATTAACAGTTAAAATGCCGCTTGAATAAAAAGGTCTTCGCCTGGCGCCGAAAAACAAATAACGAATGAATCTTACCTGGATACTTTCCACCTTTGTTTCTCCGTATGAAACAAACGATCAGCAAAATCAAGATTAGAAGAGCAACTGCACACATAAGACCAATGAACCATCCTTGAGTAGCAATGTCAACCTGACGACTTGCCTTTGCTAGAAAATGGAGAAGGTTAAAGATTATACTAAAATGCCTAAATGCATTAGAGGCATTTTCTGCACATCAATTCCATACAATATATGATACATTAATTCTGTACCACTATCGGATGTATTGTTTCAGAACATTTGGCTGGTGTACACATTTGAAGCATGATCCACTTGGAAGGCTTCAGTTATGCCTACTAGATTCCTTTTCAGGAATGCAACAGGATTGCTAAAGTAGACGCAGCGTAGATGCATCTTTCTCAGATTTTACTGAGTTACTGCACTGTGCTTGAAAGAGAAAAATGTGCTTTATAATAGCAACAAATGATCTTAAGAAGCTTTTTGTTCCTTTTCTATAAAATCTTTAAACCTTAAATACCAACTTAGTGATAAAATATGTATGTATAATATTTAAAATGATTATAATATTGACACATAAATGAATAATATCTTTCATTTTCTTAACAGGTTAGCGAAATCTGGGATATTCCAGACATGCAGTTATGGGGCATTAAAAGGTTAGCGTCAAACATTATAAGACAACATACGCATTTAACATTCAAATGCTGTATGAAATGTCATGCTAGCGGAAGAAACAATCCATGCGTAACACATACCAAATATGTAACAAGCAGAGGTAGTAACTTATTTATGCAGCTTCTGGTATTTGTGTTAGTGTATGTTCTAATAAAGAGTGTACATTTCTACAAGCCAATACTGCATTTTTAAATTTCATAAATATTTATAATTGTGCCACACAAATTGTTTGCTTTGCCAGATTACACATTGTTCTGATGGATACAGAAGCTGCTAGCACATGCCAATCATATGAATCCACCCCATTGCATTCACAAAAAATGAAATAATGCCTTATAATGATTTGCTTCTTTAAGAAACCACATACCCTTTAGAGTTTTATAACACTGAGTCTAATTTGGGGTCTCACAACATATTTCCCCTTCTCTCCCATTTTATATATTTATAAGACTGGATCCAGAGTTCCTGAAAGTGGAACTCTGCTTATGCGATCCTACTGCTGGAGGGAGAAGCAGTTCGGAGGAAAAATAAGAAAATGGGAAGAAATATGCAGAGTAAGACAAATGTGCTGAACATTGTCAAGCTCTAGAATTTTGTTCCCACAGAGGTCAATCAAATGTGAATGGGAATCCCAACCAGGATATGAATATAATATCACTCTTCCTCTTTGTGTTCCCCATAAAGGCAACATAAAGCTATCATGCCTAGTAGATACTGAAAAGGCTCATTCGCCATGATTTTTATCATTTCCTTCTTTGTTCTGCAGCCTCAAAGGGATGAAGGGCCCTCCATAATAAGGAAAGGGACAGATGCTGCACAGGAAGAGGGAATTGGTGGAAATAACCTTGGTGGCACTTCTGCTGGATCTCAGTCCCTCCTTGAGAGACAGGGACTATTGTGATCCAAGTCTATATTACAAAGCACAGTAATGGTGTCAACTAACATTTACTTCTGAACAGAGGCAATGTCAGTAGCCTTCCAAGTCTTTCTCTCTCTCGAGGTCGGTTTTCTGGGTTTCCTAGAAAGAAGTCAGGGAGATCCAGAAAAAATGTCCCAAGCCAACGTAAGAACTCAGCAAGGTATTTCCTATCAGCCCCGTGCTTTCTAACTCATCGCTTCTGGTCTGTCACTCCCCCAAACCTGTTCCCCACTCTTTCCTTTGCTGAACGGCTGACAGGAGTGGAGACTAGAAGGTATCTGCTCATAGCTAGGCTGCTACCCAACTAGCAGTGTGAAGGATGTAAACAGGTGTGTAATATACAATTCTTACATGAAAGAACAACCATACTGTGCTTCTTTGAATTCTGGTACCTACACAGGAAGTATGTCCCAGCATGGGCTGCCTTCACAGCATCGGCAGCAGCCTACATCCTTCTCCGCAGGAAGGACCTGATTTTTAATGTCCAGGTTATGCAGTGATCTGGTAAAGCTACCTGATTTTGCATTTTTGCTCTTACACGCCAAGTTATCTTTTGGCATGTGGAACATGCATAACTAGAAAGGTCTCATGCTATCCCTTGGAATTCCTTTTTAATTCTATACATAATGCTTCTGTTAAAAGTTTATCCAGCTTTTCAATAGATACAGAATGTGGCTGGGAAAAAAATAACTGAGAATATACTGTGCTTGGACAATTAAGTTCTGCTCATTTTATCTATTTTTAAGGAAGCTGTTAAACATTTAATCCAAGTCAGATATAGGTAAGTCCACTGAAATAATGATATACTCAAAATATATAACAAATCCTCTGACCCAGAGATGCTGACATGCTCCCCAACCAAATATATGATCACTGCTACCAGATCTGGCTATACTGATTGCCTGTGAGAAGAAAGATGTGAATCCCTGTGGTCCCTGGAATTAGTGCCCTACCTCACATTTCGTTGTTTCTTTCAGAACTGACTATAGTAATTATGCATTAGGCCCAGAAATGACACTGCAGGAGAAGAAGGGTTCCTTTAGTTAGTGGAAGGAACAGGTATCCAATAGACCCTTGCATCTTCTTCCCTGCTGCAACCCCGAGTGTTCCTCACACACTGTTCAGGGGATCTCCCAGCCCTCCAGAATTTTCCAAGGCAGAGGAGATTGCAGAGGAGCAGGGATATGAACAAATCATCTTTCTACCTTCTGTTGATGGAGAGCCATCCCATTTATGGGATTGTGCAATGAACACCTCAGGATACAGCTCCTTATGTTCAGCAGAGCCTGAATGTATACCGAATGCAGGGGTTTCCATGGCAGAACCCCCTTTTCTATACATAGAGAAGGGCTTCATGCAGTACAGCAGTATGTACTGTTTATGTTTCGATTCATGTACCACCCAAAATGATTAAGGCACATAGTTTTAACTTTCAAACTGCACTTTTAACCTAATTTTTTGGTATCCTCCGGATAATTACTTGACCATACATTCTCTTTCTAAACTTTGCAATGTGCATGCAATTTATGACATGCACAAACAAAAGTGTACTGACAGTAACAACACTTCCCAGAACACTTATTTAACAACATGTTTATGAGAACACCACTCAACATGAAATTTTTTTATTATGAAACCTGTTTTAGACATCATTAACATTCATTTAATCATGGACAGTCACTTTTTCATAAGGATAAAGTGACACAAGGTATCCATGTACAGAAGATTCTGTACAAAACATTCTTATTAATTTATACTATAGTATACTATTACTATATCATTTGTTTTGTGGCATTTTAGTCCAACAGAATATCAAATCAATATATTTTTGTTGATGTAGTTAGAATGACCCCCTGTGATAAACTGGGTTTACTTTCCTGAGGCATAAGTATTCTCAGACACCATTTCTGACTCATAAACAATAAAAACATACTACCCAGAAACGAAGAACGCCAACATTAAAATTTCCTAGTAATAGCAGCCATGAGAAGTGCATATTTTCTTTGAAAAAAGAAGACTGCAAAGTGACAAAGAAAACTTACAAGAAGATATTCATTGTGCATAGCAGTGAAGCACTATGGGGCTATGAGACACATATTTAGCTCTACTTCAGAAAGCGGAAGAAATTAAAATATTTTGATACAACACATCACTACTTCAAAGTTCCAGCACTTAACGCATCACAATTCTGAATGCAAAACAGAATTGGTATGGTGCGCCTCACCTGGACCTGTCTCAAACACAGCCTCTGAACTCCTAAAACCAGAAAGACCCTCAGCACCAACCCGGACTTTATAAGATGTTCCTGGTGTTAATCCTTTTAACACAAAGAAGGTCCGGGAACCATTAATATTTTCTTTTTTCATTTCTTCTTTGCCTACAAAATTTTTAGGAACACAACATATTGGAGTATTTAAATTAACTCAAATTCATTTTTACATTTCTTACTGTCAGTTGGCAAAATTTAGATTTCTTTTTCAAACACACCTCACTTTATTTATTAAAATGCAGTATCTGGGTAAATAATAATCTAAATAGTATCTGGTTTTCACCCATTAAAAGGATGAATAAAATTGCCAGGAAAATTAAAATTAATCAGTCACTGGCCTGGATTAACTTTTTTTTTTCAACTCTAAATAGTAAAGTATAGCTGTTGAAATTTTCTTTACATTTCCCTTAATTTCTCCATGTTTAGTCAGAAGAAGGGAAGGATTAGAGATGGAAGGAATTTAGGTAAAGGAATTTGGAAAGCTTAATCAACTCTCAGTTTCAGTTGGTAGCTTATCATTTTATTTTTAAGAGAAATTCTCCATTCACATTTTGGTTCAGGACTGATAAAAAAATGACACAGAGCTGCTCTGAAACTGGATGGTTCTCATTGTGGTACTGCTGCTGCAATTCTATTGCACTACCACTGCAAAGCCAAAAGCTTCTGGTGCCTTTTGGGTGATTTTCATGGTGATCTGTGATGTCAGCAACCAGGATTGGCATTGCACTAGAGGTCTTTTATGCTAGTGCAACATAACTTATATTCATGGTAGTTACACACTAGCTAATGCCCTTTAACTGGGGAATGCTGATGGTGCCATCTTCCATCTCATGGAAATGAAACAGGAATGAAATGTCAACTAATGAAAAGCAAGCATCTGTTGACACTGTGTCAAGTGTTTAACTCTAAGACGACAGCAGTGTCAAACTGCTTCCCTGAAACTGGCTATAAAATCTGCCGTTCAAAATCTTAAGAAAGCGCAATTAGTCACACATGAAATTCATGATTCAAAAATCTACAGCTTCCCTATATAGTAAATTAAAGCATACTGCAAGAAACGTTTTGTTGTTAGCTTTTCCAGTCAAAACTACTTCTCGATTGTTTTGCATTAATAGAATTTTTATAACATAACCTTTGAACTCCTAAAACTGCACAACTATAAACATCTATGCGACTAAGCACATATCATGACCGGCAGCTTTTATACACTTTAACCAAGCCAAGGTAGGAAAGTGTTACATGTACAGAAGGTAGGATTCCTTGCATATATATCCAATTAGATGGAAAGACACCACTTCAAATAAGTTCTCTATGACTGGTCCCTTCTCTGATCCAGCAACTGAAGCTGTACGTGCTTTTCAGAATAATGCTGAAAAATCTGCTGATCCATTTCTTGGGAGGCATAATGGGAGGCTGATTCAGGCAGCCTGATAGCTTTTCCCTACTGAACAGCAGATTGGTGGTAAATTAGCTGCTTTCAAAGGATTCTGCATACAATTGTATCAGCTCCATGCATTTTTAGTCAGATAGGGAGGGGCATTTGAGTTTTCTTAATGGCAGAAAGCCCTAAGATAATAGAAGGAAACTATGCTATAGATAGATAGACAGATAGATAGATATACACTATTAATCAGCACTTAAAGAAATGCTATGTTCGTATTACCTCAATGTAATTCATAGTAAAAGGTTGCCCCTTCATTTTTTTCCAAAATTAAGTCAATATTGACCATTTTCTATTATTAAAATATGTTGAAATATATTACAGCATTTAGAAGAATTCAATGAAATGTCTTCTTACTGCCTGCCACACCATATTCAACATAAATGTTCTCATGAACTGGACCCTCAAATTCCCAACTGACATTGGCATAGGTCTCAGCAGCACTTGCCGTAACATTTTTGATCCTTGGATACAATGGTTGCACTGAATACACAAGAAAGACAGAGCAAAATGTGAAAGGTTGTATGCATCCAATACAATCAAACTTTCACTACTTTACTAATCTGAACTTATGAAAAATATGAAAATTGTTCTTTTTTCATCATGAAAAAGGAAATGGACTTACCATGAATTCTCATTTGCAGTGATTCTGGGCTGGGACAGCCCTCAGATAGAAAAAATACGTCTGCTTGGTTACCAGGCACGGTTCCCTTGCATATAGCACTGAGAGAAGTTTCCTTTCAGCTCAGGTCAAACTTAGTTCCTGGATAAGCCCCTACTATGAACTGGACATTGACCAGACTATCTATGGAGCCAGAAATGCCTGACACTCAAAATGGATTTCAAGATCATATTGTAAATATAGTGACTTCTGACGTGCACAAAAAATTTTCAGAAAAAGATCAGTCTGTGTTTTAGATACTACAGCAAAGTCTTAATTTGGGTTACAAGAAGCTACTTGTATGTATGGTCCTGCTAAAAATGGGTGTACATCAACATTCCATTGTCCAGTACTATGGACAAGAGGCTGCTGCTAGGGTAGAATATGGGGAAACAGATTAACTTCCTATAGACAAAGGCAGCAGACAAGGGTATATTTTATCTCCCCACCAGTTCAATCTGTACACAGAACATATCATAATGGAAGATGGATTAGGATCAGAGCAATGAAAATTGACAGAAGACACATTCATAATTTAAGATGTACAGACAGTATTATCTTACTGGCAGAAAGCAGCAATGAACTGAAATGACTCCTCGTGAAGAGGAAATGAAAGAAGAAAGTGGACAAGCAGGACTACAGCCTGATAGTAAGAAAACAAAAATAATGGCTATAGAAGAATTACACAACTTTAATGCCAACAATGAAGAAACTGAAATCATAAAAGATTTTACATAACTTGGCTTGGTTATCAATTCAAATGGAGGCTGTAGCCAAGAAATATGAAGAAGACTGAGACTTGGAAAGGCAACAATGAAGGAAGCATAAAAGGTCATCAAGTTTATGGATGTTTCACTGAAGACCAAGCTTAAATCATCTCTATTACTGTATTCTCAATCACTATGTTCAAAACACATTGCTGTGGAAGAGCTTTGCAAATACCTTGGCCCAAAAGAGGCCAGGACAATAAAACTGATGTTATAACGTCAGCACCATAATGTCAAATGGTGCTAGGAAAAGTTGAAGCCAGGAGGAGGAAGACCACCAAAGATGGGATGAATCTATTTCATTAAGGAAGCCACAACCTTAAATTTGCAAGAGTTGAATAGGGCTGTCCACCAGGGTATATTGGAAAGCATGCTTTCATAGGATGGCTATAAGTTAGGGATGATTTGATGGTACATAAGAACAACCTCTAACAATATTGAACAATAACTGGCAAACAGTGAAATCATCATCAGAGTAAAGAAGTGTCGAGTAGGAAGTGACATTCAATTTAATCAGTTTGATAAGCTTTATACTCGTAGATGAAGACTGTAATAGCTTGGCAACCATGGAAGTGAACACCTTTGTCCCCACTAAGGATTGTCAGAAGCATGGAAAGAGGGACCCCGATATTCCATTTTCTTGCATACTGGTGATACAAAAACAGAATTCACTTTTGATTGGCACTTATTTTACTTCAGCTTATCTTTGTAATCTTGGTAAGAAAAAAGGCAGTACAATTTCCTCAGATCAATGGAAAAGCAAAACCTTATAAAAGAGAGGTAGATTCCAATAACCATCCCATCTCCATGGAAAAATAATAATCTCTTGTTAATAAAAGGAGTATTAAGTCTGGAGATGCCATGAATGAAAGTAATAGATGGCAAAAGCTGTCTTCGTGGTCAATTCTCAAACTGGCCAAGAATTCAAAAGTTTTTGATGGTACAGAGATCTTGGACGTAATATTGTGAATCTTTTTGCATGGATTCAAGACTGATTACATGCATATACATACATACATACATACATACATACATACATACATACGTGTGAGTATTGTATTTAAACTTACTATGACCTAGGATACTAATGATAGGAACAACCTGGTATTTCAATGTGCTAGTCAATGTGTGGTGCTGAGTACCAGAAAGAATTATGCTTCAATCCTCATTTTGGTTTAGTTTAGTAGATTTAGACCAGTACCTTGCCAAGTGTCAGGTCAGTGAACCCAGTTGGTGTAAAGTTAAAAAAAAATCTAAAACATTATCAAAGTAACTCTGTTATAAAACGTGGTGCATCTCAAGCTCTAGGAGGTCAGATGTAGTCATTCTGGTAGATGCGTTCCAAATGATCTTGAAATGATTTTTTTAAAGAGATGGGAGATCCCAAGGTGGATGGAATAGCAACCAACTGAAATTTAGAAACCAAAGATTCCTGGACTGGAATGAAGCTGGTAGAATAATCATTGTTCTTGTAACTCTGGATGAGTCCAAAATTCAGAACAACCAAAATTTTTAAAAATGAAAATCACTAATACACTTAGCCAAATTAGCTTCTTGTTGGCTATAGTATTCACATCACAGGCTTGAACTCATGTGACTTTTCATGAATGCTCAATTGACAATTCTATACAGGTTGCGTATTTGATGGAAAGACCAAGGTAAACCGTTTTGAACATTACATATTATTCTGCTCAAAATAATAATTGGGAGGCTTCCTAATGAAGTGTTATTACTCTTTTGCCACCTTGCCTATTGTCCATATGAATCCTCCTATCTTTGAACTTGACCCAATGTCTGTTCAGAGAGAGGAATTTCCCACGAAAGATTGATGAGACCTGCATATGAAATGTGGAATGGAACAGCTTGGTTTCCTCCACCTTGGTTGTAATCCTTGTCTTAGCTTCATCCCACTTGCCTAATTAGCAAGCCTGTATCTCCTCTTCTTCATACTGTTGCCTTTCCCCTCCTCTTTTTAAAGTGTAGGATATGAAGGCTTCACAATTTTTCAAGCTCACTGCTTCTGACAAACTGGAAAATTCAGAAGAAACATCACCTTGCATCTCTTCGGGTAAAAGGCATTTGATCCCGGTTTTAAAAAATCTTGCTGAGACACCGTGAAGGGTGGGATATAAAAGCTGGCCTAAGCATGGGAAGAAGTGTAGGTCAGGAATGCTGAATAGTGCACAGCAGTTCCTTGAAACTCAGTGCTAGATGTCCTATGTTTTGCACAACTGGAGGAGAATGGGGAGGAGAGGAAGCCAAGAGATACAAGGGATAACAGAAGAAAAAGAGGAAAAATGTGCCCAATCTCTTTCTTTTCAGGCACTGGGATTAGAGTTGTCCCCATATACAACAAGAAGAAAATGTAATTTAAAAAGTGTTGGAAGTTGCCTGATTAATTGTCTCAGCAAGTTCGGTTTGAAAGATGAAGAAAAGCCCCTCTTTATTTTTTTTGTTTTTTGGCAGTATTTTTTTAATTTTTTTGGACCCTACCTAATAACCAAGAGGACGTAACTCTGAGGTGTGTTCCAGTCTGAAACCACTGCAGATGAGTGAAACCAGGATTGACAAATGTTATATGTGACTCTAGGATTAAAAGACATAGTACATGAAGCTAAAGTAGGCATGCTAATACAATATACAATACAGCTAAGAATTTAATTTTATGCAACTCATTTGCAAGTCTACCCCATTGTAGTCATTGAAACATTTGCAAATAAACAGACATAGTATTGGACTGCGTGTTTATGAATTCTACCGCTCAACTGGAAAGCCTGAAACTGCTTTTAAAATCATACATCAAGTAGCGATATTTCTATATGTTTATGAGAAACCCCAAAGACATGCAGACATATGATTTCCTAGTTCCATGCTCTTTCATAAAAACGTTTCCTTCCACTGGTTTCCGTTGCATTTGAGCTGCTTAAATGGCACTTTATATTGATAAAAGAAATAATAATACCCTTATAAAATGTTGGAGGTACAGTATGCATGACAGGGGAAGTTTCAAAATGGTTCTCTAATCCTTCATCAGACAAGGCAGGAAAGAAGAAAACAAAGAATGAAAATATTTTTATATAGAAAAAATGTTTCAAAAATCACAGTACCGTCTTACCTGTTAAGTAAACAATACATGCGTAAGTGAGCGCCCATGCAGCCTATTTTAAATACATTGTACTCAATACAATAGGACATTATAAAAGGAAAACAAGATCATTAAAAAAACACAATTATTTGATAAGCTTCCTTGAAAGGCTGCAGTCTTGCCATCATTCACTGTTCTCAGTTGCAAAGGTCCCCCCCCCCCCATCAAGCACTGTGATCAAGCAAACACCATTCTTATTAGTGGAACTGCATGTGACAGATACAATGAATGGTGGATTTCATTCGCTGTCTGATTCTATGTGGTACTTAATTCAAGTCATGATCTCAGAGAATAAACATTCATTTTATGAAACCCTTTAAGAGGCATAAAATACTCAGAGAAGCTCCCTCCACTCTGCAAAGAAATTCTGAGCAAGCTGTCAGTGGAAACTTCAGATTTTTGGTTTCCAGAAGCAGTCTTATATATTCAAAATATCCTTCATGTATCTTGAATGCCACTTCTCTCACTGTGTGTACAATGTCAACTTTTGAAATAGGTGCAAAATATAGCATTAAAATATTATTTGCATTACTCAGGGGTAAATTAAAAAATATAGATGACATATCTAAAGGTGTCATTTAAAGCAAACACAGCTAAGAAAACTTGTCATGCTTCTTTTGCCTTAACATTTATATTCCAGTCCAGCAACTGGGTCAGACTTACTCCTCTTTGAATTTAAACCAATTCTCTATAATCCTGGTATGCAGCACATCTGCAGAACATACTTCAGACTGTCTTTTAATTTTTATTCAGTTGCTAAAGATATTCTGATTTTGAAAAGATTATCAATTTAACTTTATAATCTATTTACTGAAAAATTATTACCTATTCAAAGAGTCAGCAAAAAATCAGTTCAGTCCTACCACACTGATGTGATGCTTCTAAAGTAGCAGCATGGTGGAAACAGAGA